GCACCTAACAAGCCGGCATGTTCTATTAACCAGCATGCCAGCTTGTAAGGTAAGTGAAACCAGAAGTTCCCACCGTGGCACTTCTGATTTTGCCAAGCCCCCATGGCCTGGGGCAAAGCAGCTTGCCTTGCTGAGCCCCCACGGCCTGGGGCATAGCAGGCTACATGGGGTCCACCTCCCTGTCCCTCAGGGCCTGCAGGGCCCGTGGGAGGGTTGACAGTGCCCCAGATGCGGCGGGAGAAACAGTGGCCCAAACAGGCAAAGACACCTGTTCAGGCCTCTCAAGTAAAGAGCATATTTTGTTATCTGGCACCCCCCATTCTCCATGGGTACCGGATAATAAAGCTTTTACTGTATTTAGTTGGTCTAATAAAATATATCGCATCTACCCAAAGAACCTCGTCTGCCTATGATCTCTGGAGATACAAATCCACAGTTTGAGAACTGAAACAGCAACACAGAGATGCTTAATGGGACCTTCTAGACTGAGCACTGAATCCCATTGGGTAGAGTGGTTTTCTTTAATTTTTAATAGTAGAGGAGCTTCTGGGAACCCCATTAGATTGGGGTCCTAATATAGTCCATGGCCTGTTGTGACCTATTTATAAGACTTCTAAAAACATTATATGAATAAATTGTCTCAAATAGTATATAATTAGAAGTTATAATCCCTATTCCATGGTGATATCTTTGATCTTTAACATATCTTAAATTTAAGCTATCTTTGTTTTGTTTTCTTAAAAAAAAAAAAAAAAAAGCATCTTAAGAAAAAATAAGATTAAATTTTAAAAATCTTATTAAAAACTAATTTGTTGATTTCTTATCCACCCTGCCACTGGGGCCCTGCAGCAGCATATTTTGGCCCTGGGCCCCAAACGCCATGCCTGGCTAGGCACTGCCCAGCTGGGCAGCAGCCCCAACTCTACCCAACTCCCTACCTCCTTCCCTCCCTCAATCCCCCCCTCCCCTCCCCACCCCATCTCCCCTGACTTACCTGCGGGAGCTGTTTTTCAGGCTGCCTGGCGGCCATGAGCACATACATGCACATGGTGCCCTCTGCCTAATTGCCTTCCTCCTGCTCCCCCCACAGCCCCTTGCAGGCTGGAATTCTGCCAGTGTGCAGAGAGCTTGATGAAAAACTGCAAAATCTGTGGGTTTCTCCATTAAAATGAGAGCTTCATTTTCATCGGGTAAAGGGGGAAATCCTTGTTTTTTTCTCCATTTTTCATGGGAAATGGAAAACTGTTAATGATCAGCCCCTTGAAAATGCTCTAAAACTATGCACAAACAGAAAAGCATGGCTGCAGAGCTCTCTGATTGGGTGACAAATTAATCCTCATTGTATGAGGGTTCAAATGAAGACACTCCAAAGTGGAGCACCTTCATTTATTTCTGTCTGTTTGCACAGCCTGGCCCAGCTGCTGTCTCTGGATGGACGGGGAGGAAGGCAAGTGACAGAGGTCTGGTCTGGGGTTTTCTCAGCCCCGCTGGAGTTGGGCCACGTGGATTGGAGCCCCTCACCTTGAGACATGAGCAACGCATGCCCCCCGAGGCTGGGGGGGCATAGTGACTGCTCGCAGGCGGTGGTGCCAGGGGCATGGTGACGGCTAGCGGCAAGCAAGGAGCTCCCACAAGCAGCTGCAGTGCTGTTGGGCGGGGGGTGGGGTGGCGAATGCCAACTGGTGGTCAGCGACCATCCGCAGATTCAGGTTATGAAGTGAAATCATCGGGGAGGGAAGGGAAACAAGCTTTTGGCCTTGTATATATCGAGAGGGGGGAGAACACACGCACGTACATCAAGCTTAAAATTTCAAATGTATATTTTCTAAGCATTCATAGCATTACAAGATGCTATGCATGTATTGTGTTTGTGTGCGCATACACTAATGTATGTGTAATATACTTTTTGAAGCATCCTAGTGATGCATGCACAGTACGCATACAATCTTGCAACACTAAGAATGCTTTGAAAAGCTGTAATCAGTATTTATAATCCTATTGGTTAGGGTGTCTTTTTAAAATAAATCACTGATGCCTCAGTCTAGGAGTTGGCTTTTTGGCATTCATGAAGGTTTGGATACTGCGTGTTAGTGTAACTTTTTTTCTGACTTTGTGTAAGGCAAGGATCAACACTTACTGGTATATTCTGTAAGTTGATATGAGAAAAGTAGGAACTGTAGTAGTGTTCTGATAAGTGAATGACAATATTGTAAAAACAAATGAATGCCTTTTTCAAAAGTAGACTGGAAGCATATGATTAGGGACAAGGGGTTAAACTACTAAGCCAACCTTACTCAAACTGGAACTGTTAGGGTCAGAACTGAACCCAGACTGGGGCAAGTCTAAGTTCTGCATGTTGGATATCTATTGCTTCCTGTCTGGGAGCTTACCGACTTCAAAGGACCCACCTTTTGGTCAACAGGATACTTTAAGGAATAGACCCTGACGTCAGCGAAGGTGTTAGCATGCACAATAAACATGTTTTAAAGGCCTCTAGCAAAAGCAGGGAAAGCCATATTTGACATTCCTGTCATTTCTGTGGGGGTTTTTTAGATAGGTGTACGTGAAGGGGAAAGCTTTTCAAAAGCTTTTCGGTTCTCCTTTTATACATCATAGGTTAGTTAAAAAAGTACAAGGACAATATTTTAAACATTTTTTATAATACTTTGTAAGTTACGCATCTATTTTTTCCTATCTGTATCTATAACATGGCCTTTTCATTAAGGCCCTAATTCTGCAGCTGCTGCTACACAGACCTTCAGTGTAAGTGGAGTACCACTAACTTTAAGAAACCAGATGGTTGATTTTTGTGGGCATCTGTCTACTGCAGGGGTGGGCAAAGTGTGGCCCGTGGTGTGGATCTGGCCTGCCAGGCCATTCTATCCAGCCTGCGGGGCACCTAAAAATTTTACAAAAGTAATATTTATCTGCTCCTGGCTGTCTGTCAAAGGTGACAGGAGCTAGAAGCAGTAGGACCCAGGGGAAGCCAACAGGACTCAGGAGCAAGGCCAGCCCCACCCCACCTCACCTCCCTGTCCCCCCAGCTGGAAGCCTCTGCCTGGGCCAGCTTTCACTGCTTCCCTGTGTGGCTGCTCCAGCACCCTGTGGCCCCAGGCTGCATTGCCGGACTGTGGGAGCACGGGGTTGGCAACAGACCTGGAGTTCTGCCAGCAGGGCTCAGACTTTATGCATTGCTAGACTGCCAACAGCTGCCACACATCCTCTTTGCCAGCAGTGGTTCCCCACCTCCACCCAGCAGAGTAAGAGTTCTGCTGCAAGGAAAGATATGAAAGGCCTGGAGGTAAATGGCAATGGGGATCAAATGTGACATGGGTTTTCTAAAGAGAGATTGTGCCAGACTAGCTGCTGTTTTTCTTTGCTGGGAGAGCTGATTTTTTAAAAATTAGACTGACTGCATTTCTCTTGTTTCTTTGGACTTCAGCAAGCCCCTTGGGGAATTTAATTTAGCTGGAGAAGACAGACATTAGTGCAAGAACTGTAGTCAGTTCTTACCCTTTTATTAAAGGGGAGAGACGAGTTGGCTGTGCTGTAAAGAGAACTTTCTGGCTTTAGAGAGAGAGGTTACTGGATTAGTCACAAAATGTCTATGAGCCATCAATGTTAAGTGGCCCTTAAAATGTTAAATTTGATTCCAGGGTGCATCTTTTGAAGCATTTTCCACAGAGTATTAATGACTTTGTACAAATGCCTGGAAGTGACCTTATCTGGAATGTCAGTCTGGCCACCTATAATCAAGAAACATGAATCCTCGTTAGAGTAGGGGGGCACAAGGATGATCAAGGAGAAAGAAGCATCTTGTGAAAGGAGACTGGAAAGCTTGGTTTATTTAGTCAAGCCAAAAAAAGGCTGAGATGAGATATGATTGCTGTCTGTAAATACATGAGGAAGGTAGACACCAGAGAAGAGGAAAAGCCAGTGAAGGTAAAGGAAAGTGTCAGCATAAAAACAAATGGATATAAATTCACAAATAAATTTGAGGCTAGAAATTAGAAGGTTCCTGATCATCAGAGGAGTAAGATTCTGGATCAGCCCCCCACTCTAAGAGTATTGGGGAAAAACAGCTTTTAAAATGGAGCTTGAAGTTTTCACCGAGATTGCTTGTCATGGTGATCTATGACAGCAGGAGAACTGGGCTCAGTGACCAAAGAGGCTGCTCTGCCTTGTCCTACATCCCTCCTATATTCCCTTTCATCCTTGCTGCGTGAAGATGATGGTGTGGAGCCACAGCCCTAGAATTTGCAAGACTAACGAGGCACTAATTTAAACTGATTTAATTTGAACAAATTACTTCACTCATGTTTCTAATTCCACCTGAGATGAGCAAAGTTGGGGGGTGGGGGAAAAAACCTAAAAAACAGAATTTGTCATATGTTAACTTGGATTTTTAACCTTTGCCTTTCTTTCAATGTGGACAATACAAATAATTCAAGTACTTTTATTTTTCAGTTCACTTTTGAGTTCATTTTTGGCAACTGAATTCAATTTAAGCACCCAGCCCCCACTCCTGCTCTCCAAGTAGTATTAAAATAGACTGTCTCTCCACCTCAGGGGCTGGAGATTAGTGTTTTTCAGCTCTGGAAGTATTTTTGTGATATTTTATATAACAGACTTGTCTGCGATTCCAACCCCTGTGTGCCTGGATGTTTGGTGTGAGTTTCATTTAACCAGAGGATGTATTTAATTCTTGGTGAGTGTGTTAACAGGTCAGACAGGGAACGGGAGGGGACAAGGAAACAAGCTTATTAAACTCAAACTCCTGTTTAGCTCTGGAGGTTCATCCTCTCATCTGTCAGCTAAGATGATGGCCAGCTCTTAAGATACCGGTTCCAATGAGGCTGTCCACTGGCTGTCTTGAGCCCCACCCCTCGGGTTTTCAGTGCTTTAGAAATAACAATGATTAGCTGTTCTAAAGAAACCATCAGAGAGATTGACAGGGGGAGGAATGATCACTCACTCTAATACAATGTCTGTCTGTCCAGGTGAAACTGGCATTGGCAAGTCAACATTAATGGACACTCTGTTTAACACAACGTTCGAAAGTGAGCCAGCCACCCACAATGAGCCCGGAGTGAGGTTGAAAGCACGAAGTTATGAACTCCAGGAGAGCAATGTCCGTCTGAAGCTGACCATTGTTGACACAGTTGGATTTGGAGACCAAATTAACAAAGATGACAGGTAAATTGCTTTTCCCCTTGAAAGGGGGTGGGTTGTTTGCACTGACTTGTTTTCAGGTGTGAATGAGCTTGAGCCTATGCTGGTGTAGTTAGTGAAGTTGGGATTAGTGGCCTACTGCTCAGTAATGCTGCATCATCCGGTGTCTAGAATACTGGACAGGGACTCTGAGACCCTGGGTTGTAGTCCCAGCCCTGGCTGCTAAGATGCTGTGTGACCTAACTGCTTTGCCTTTTCTCTGCCTTCACACCCTTTCTCTCTTATTTAGACTATAAACTTCATAGAGCAAAGGTGGTCCCTTAATATGGGCATGTGCCTAATGCAATGGAACCCTGATTGTAACTGGAGCTTCAAGGCATGTTAGCATAGTAGAAATACTGTAGTAATGACACTACTAGCTTGTAGGCTAGTAGTTTCCCAGAGGCTGACGTTTTCCCAGAACAACAGAATGGTTTTTTATCCTGCTGGTTTTTGCAGATGAATTTAATACATGCAGTTCAGCTCAGTTTAAGTGAATTTTGTTTCATCCAAACTTGATACTGTTTTGTTTTGTTTTTTAGTTTGTACCAAATAATAGCATTAAATTATCTGTTGCTTTGCAGGCCCAAAGCACTGTTTTGGCATATTCCATAATGGATAGCTAAGTTATCCTGTGAGACAGCTGGGTATTGCTTATGTTTGATGACTGGGGAAGCTGAGGCAGAGAACAATGTGATTTGTCCACTGTCATCCAAGTCGGTACCAACCTGTGACTAGAATTTGGGTTGTCTTGATTCTGTACTCATTCCTCCAGGCCTCAGTGTTTTAAAGCTGAGTTACTTTTGCTCATGGAAGCAAGATAAATATTTTTAACAGGCATGTATATTTGGTATGGTTTTTGATTTGCAAAATCACATTGCAATCCCCTATAATGGGTCACAGTGTCATTCATTGATGTACGTCAGAGATGTATCCTCTCATATCTCCAAACCAATGATGATGGGAGTCAGGAAGCAGAAGGGCGAACAGATAGATCACTCTAGATATACCCAATTCAATACTCTTTCTGTACAGAATCCACTCCTGCCACTGTTGGAGACAAGATACTAGGCTAGATGAACCATTGGTTGGACCCAGAACTTCTTATGTTCTTATGCTGTAAGGCAATGATGGTGTGTGCTGTGAGGTATCCTTTCCCATCCCAAATGAGAACACTATGTGTGTTTCAGCATTCCTTAGTCAGTATTCATAGGGTGCGCAAATCTGCTGTCTATACAGACATTCCCACCATGTTGCTGCCCCTCTCTCAGGCCCCGTGGGTCCCAAGGGACAGGGTGGGGGAAGCCGTGCAGCCTGCTATGCCCCAGGCCGTGGGGGCTTGGCAGCACAGGCTGCTTTCCCCCAGGCCCTGGGGACTCTGCGAAACTGGGAGCCATGGTGGGCGCTTCCAGTTTCACTTTTCCCTCACTTTTCCGTCACGTGCCGGTTAACAGACCATGCTGACTTGTAAGGTGCCAGATAACTCAGCATTTACTGTATTAAACAAGCTTGGCTGTTTCAAAGTTGTAATTAATGTTTTTCAGGTGATTATCCCTTGGAAATGTGTGGGAGAGTACATCTATGTTTTACTGATTTGTAAACAGGAAGGTAAATACACTCACATAATAATCCAAACCAAAAATCAAGTTACGAGTTCACCTAATTGGCTGTCCAGGTTAAATCAAAACCAAAGCTAAAATTCTTATTTCATCTCAGGACCGCAAGTGAAAGCAAAACTTAAACCGTGATTAATTTTTGTTTCACTTTCAGTTCAGCAAACACAGAGTGGTGTCTCTTTTCTTTTCTTGAGTTGGGGAAGTTGGAAGTGTTTGCATAAAATCTGTTAGTTTTTTTTAGTGCTTTTGGTTTAAAGTAGTCATAATAATGCCTAATCAGAAAAAAACTAGTGTGTGGCATGATTATAGTGAAGTTCAAGCCACTGAAGGAAGGAAGAAGGTTGGTAGATGTAAATATTGCAGGCAGGAGTATGCTAACAATGCAACAAGAATGAAGAAACATTTAATAACATATAGAAACTGTCCTAAAAGAGCATAAGCCATATACAGAAATTTAATGCAACGAAGTGGTGGAAAAACATAATCTGAGAAAAGTCTACTTCAGGAATCCTATGTAAGTAAACAAATTAATATGTTAAATAACACTCAGTATAGACTAGCATCTATATTGTTTTAAAACAGTATAATTTTAAAAGTTGTTAATGCAACTCTGGACTATTTATTTATTTATTTAAAATATTTGTATCCTGCTTTTCTGCTTGCACTAAGCACCCAAAGTGGCTTAGGCTTAACAATATATTTTTTTAAAACTACATAATAGATAAATAGTTAACTATTTCAACCCAGCAGAGTGAGCTTAGTCCTCTGGCTGATGGCAGGAGCCAGACTATGCTTCCCTTTGGCTCTGAAGTCCCAGGGTAGCTGAGCAGCAGGTTCATCAGCAGTGTTCTTTCTAGCAGGGAGCGGGGAAGCAAGCTCCCTGTCACTTCTCCTTCTTCGTCTGATGGAGGAGGCCAGACTAGAATAGGCTAAAATAAAAATATTTTCCCCCTTTTGTTGCAGGAACTTGATAGCTCAGTTGAAATAGCAGATTTGCAAAAAATGGAAAATGAAAATGTTGAACCGCCAGGTCTGAGGGAGGAAGAAGCAGGATCCTTGCTTTCAAGATTACTGTCACCATATCCACTATGAGTAGCTGTTCAAGACAGTCAAGCTTGTTTTCAAGCTTTGTGGACAACATGTCAAAAGAAGATCAAGAAAAAGTAGATGAGACATTAGCTTGAGCTATATAGGCAAGTGGCACACCTCTTTCCATAACTGAATATCAATAGTGGAAGGAACATTACAAACTAATTCGCCCATCATATAAGTGACTGCCATATTATTGCTTACCAGATTCTCTCTTGGATAGAGAGTATGGCACAGTTCAAATAATGGTTATTCAAAGGATTGGTCAAGGAGAATCACCGACTCTGATGTCAGATGGATAGACTGATATATAAGGAATTCCTTTATTAAACATTGTTAGCAACACCTGAACCAATATTCTGAAAGCAACTGCTACCAAATCTTTTTGTTATACAGGTGAATACATAGCGAAATTACTGAGTGAAGAGATTGAAAGTGCAGGTCCTCCAGGGTACAAGCCCTTGTAACTGATAATGCAAGTAACATGAAAGCTGCATGGCAAATATTCATAGTTTTATAGATGTTTGGGGCGGAAGGGACCTCAGTAGATCATCGAATCCAACCCCCTGCCTTGGGCAGGAAAGAGCGCTGGGGTTAGATGAGCCCAGCCAGGTGCATGCCTAGCCTCCTCTTAAAGAACCCCAAGGTAAGGGAGAACACCTTCCTTGGCAGCCCATTCCAGATTCTGGCAACTTGTAAAGAAGTTCTTCTTGATGTCTAACCTAAATCTGCTCTCCATCAGTTTGTGGCCTGGCAAATGGAGCATCTCCTATTCCTTGCTGCCCCCCACTTCTCCCAATGAATTTATAGGCAGCCACAAGATCACCTCTCTGCCTTCTCTTGCGGAAGCTGAAGAGATCTAGGTCCCTCAATCTCTCCTTGTAGGGCTTTGCCTGCAGGCCCCTAACCATACGAGTGGACCTGCTCTGTACCCTCTTGAAGTTGTCCACATTCCTCTTGAAGCCCCAAACTGGATGTAGTACTCCAAGTGTGACCTGACCAATGCCGCATAGAGGGGAAGTATCACCTCCGTGGACCTGTTTGTCATGCACCTGCTAATGCATGATGAAGTG